ACTGTTGTAAGCCGCCCTGAGTCCCCTCAGGGAAAAGGGCGGCATATAAATTTCCAATAAAATGAAAAAAAAAAAAATGAGCTAGCATTTTGGGTAGCATGGGTTGGACACAACTTCATGACTAACAACATTCTGCCATAGTGCACAGCAGCACATAACCAGCTCATTACCCTTTAGTAAAGTGCCAAACACACTGAGTGTGAAGCCGCTAGAAATTCTGGGCAATTCCCACAACAGGAATTCTGCATATGTAATATTGTGTCCTACTTTATACACAGAACAGTCCTAGCTGGAGGATTGTCCAGTTTCCCCGCCCGCCAAAAAAAAAGAACACGGGGGACGGAGAGGAAAAGTGCCTTGAAGTTGTTCCATTAATTGTTAGGAATAAATAAAGCGAACCTAAAGATAATTGTCTTCTTTATACTAACTGGATTCATATGTCCTATCAAGTCCTATGTAATCAATAAACCATAAATAGCTGAGTTCACACAACATGCTACAGTAGAAGCAATCCCATCATATACACTACTTGGCTTAGCGTGAAGTGCAAACCAGGCCCTTTTAGCCAATTTCTACATGAATTACATAATTCAAATGTCTAAATGTGCAACTATATTTCACTGATATTTATACATCTGTATTATTTTTTGTCCTCTTTTGACAATGCCCAATTCTAGCAGAGGTAGTGATTACAGTATAGGCTATGTGTGCCTGGTTTTGCCTATTTCAAGGCAAACAAACTACCCAGTAATCCTGCCCTTTCAAGAAAATAACAAAAATTACAAGTCAACACAAACTCAAATAATTATTAAATATCTTCCTTATCCCCTAAAAAGCCATGTTTGCAGAAATACAGAGATATTTCAAAACCAGAGGTATGAGATGTAAAGTTGTTTTGTTTCATCTGTATTCTTGTTTTATTTTTATCCTCTCATTAGGCTAGCCTAGGCGTTTTGTAAAATAAATAATAAAGTCCAGCTATCTTGCATTTGCCCCAGGTCCCTTGAGTTTGATTCTCACTGAAAATGTCCATAACTTTGTCCTTCTTAAATTGGGGCAGTATTGCATATTGGCTTTCATAAAAGGCAACATGTTATTTATTACTGCTGTAGGATTTTTATTATAAAAATTAAAAGAAGTGCTCCAAGAATTTGCTGCCCCAAATAAGTTGCCCTACATGAGTTTTATGCAAGCAAAGTTCCTAATTCTGCGGACTATGTAATGTGTTTTGGATGGTGAAGAATGTTAATTGCTGCTTTACTACCTGAAGTACTCCACAGGTAGTCCTCAACTTAGGACTGTACTGGAGCCCAGAATTGTGATCATAAGTCCTGTTGGTTGTTAAGCAGGCCGTATTATGATCTGCTTAACAATGTCATGAAATCACTAAGTGATTTTATGATATTTCTTTGCGGTGATTGTAAAGAATATCCCCATGGTCATTACAAGAATCCATTTTATCCAATAGCAACTTATTGCTGGAAACCAGAAGTAAATGCTGGTTTCCAGCTAAAAAAAGTAATAAATAAAATCATAAAGCATGATTGCTTAATTCCCTGACTGCGGAATACTACAAAAAGCAGTAAATGTGGGCTGGTTGCCAAGCACCTAAAATACAATCATGTAACCATGTGATGTGACGGGGGCAGCCATCAGAACTTCGAATCTGGATCATAAGTACCTATTTGGGGATCTGTTGAAACTTTGAATGGTTGCTAAGCAACTAGTCATAAGTTGAAGACTGCCTCTATGCCATATTTAGACAGCTGGGACTGCTGCTGAAGTGCTGTTCTTCTTTCTAATCATGCCTCTTATTCCATACCATGTGTTAAAAGAGCTTTAACACTATATGTGGGATTCCAAGAAATCACAACTGAAGCATTCTTTTAAAAACATTCCTTGAAATGAAAGATTCCCCCCACCATTTTTCATATCAATTGAACGTTTTGAAATTTACATTCTACATCTTAAACATATTTAAAGACCTGTGCTGCTGATTACACCAAGATTCACTTTCAAGCAATAACATCGGCACTGTGACCTTTACAGTTCCTCTCTCTAATGTTCATTACAAATTACAGATCTTTTTAATACTACTCTAAAAATTAAAACAAGTACTATGAATTATCCTTTTTAGTATTTGCTGCTAAACTGCTTTATTAAATCCCGAGTGATTTATATTATTATTACAGATACCTAATTAGTTATGTCAGTTTACCTTTGACATATGAGTGACAAGTCTGGATGCCTTACAAGCTTTGGAGCGCCTTCTTTGGTAAACCTCACAATGATTGTGTCAATCAAACATTATTTTTACACAGTTCATCCTATAAGTCTTGTGAACTTTCTTGAGTGTCCACACTACCCTGATAAAGAAATACATTCCGTACATCATTTTCAGACATGGCAAACTTTCATGCTCCTTCTCCCTGCTTCAAGATAAGATTGTGGTACTTTCTCCATCTTCACTTACTTATGATACCACTGTACTCTAGTAACATTTTTTCTGCCAAGTTCTCCTAATGTTGTTTTCATCTTGTCCCCAGCTCATGAATGAGGCAGGCTTAAATTCCCCTTCGGTGTACAATTTAAAGTATTATCTTTTAAAGTACTATCTTTTTCACTTTTCTGACACTTTCCAAGAGCACCTTCACGTTATACAAAATTTTAAGTTTAGAACACATTATTTTGGAGTTAAATCAGGTGATACCAAGATTTGAAATAGAGGCAAAAGAGCGGAGAAGGGATTGGAATTAGAAATAGCAAATTTCATGCTTCTGTGATTTTATGCCAACCCAAGGATGGGGCAGAGAACAGTTCCACTCAGAAGTGGGGAAGCTGCTGTCTCTTTAGTTTTGAGAAAGGCAGAGTCTGGTCATGGGAGCTTTCAAATATTTCAGAGAAGATCACACAGTCGGATTCAAATTCTGCTTCTATCGGCAACCATTTGTGTATTATCAGTACACATGTAATCCAATATTATGTATTCAAAGCAACTGAAATTCAAAATAACAGTCCCCATATAAAGTCCCCGTGTAATATTGTTGATGAAAAAGGGGCATATACGTTAATTGAAATGGAACAATGGCACCTGAAGGATTATAAGACTTTCTATATAACCAGAATACCTAAAAGTATCTTTTAAAAAGACAACACATGCTTTCTCATATTTCTAAAAATACAGAGTTGCTTCTCTTTTTTCCATATCCTTTCTTGAATCACATTCTAGTAGAATGAACATTGAATCTGGATGCTTCCCCCACCTAATTCTCATCCATCTGGGTTCCCATCTGTTTGGAAGTCACATCCTCTCTGATCTTGAAGCTTTTAATTTCCAAATCCAGAGGTGTGAGACTTGGTTATAACAAATCCTCAATAAATTAGAGAAAGCTATATTCCTCTGTACATGTTCAAAGGTTCTTTTCTTTATTATGTCACACTTCTGAATATGTAAAATAATCATTGAGTGTCCATGTATTTTTCATTCCCACAGTTCACAAAATCAAGCCAGTTCAATTTTAACAACACAACCTGATCAAGTCTCATGCAGCCTAAGGCTATAACAGTATCTGTCTTGCAAATTTTCAGATTTTTCTCTTTCAAAAGACAGTCTGCTTTTCTACTATATTCTCAAGAAGCTTGAAATTCCTTTTCAATTCTCTTGATGTTGTTTTCAGTTTAACATGTGGGTAAATATGGCACATCTTTTGGTCATTCTGAAAACTCTATGATTGTCCAAGCTTTGGGAAAAGAACCTAACAGCAGATTGCTCATGGCTTCCTTAGTGATTTAACTAGTGTGGAAAGCCAGAAAGGTGCAGAAAGATGACTGCATGATAAAACACAGCACATTCACATGAACCCTGACACAACTATATAATAGAAAAGTGGAACATTGCATGCTACACATGACAATTTTACAGAAAGTCTGAAAAGTTAGAAAACTACTATTCTATATTATATTTACAATGGCAAGGCGCAAAATGTGAATTGAGTCTTAGTCTACTAATTTCTGCTCTATATTTGATCCATAATGCCTTGCAAAATAGAATTATGCTTATACTGGTTGGTACAATATATGACAGGTAATAGATTCAAATTATCAAAATACTGAAAGGAATCTTCAGCTATAAATTACCTTAAAAGCATACAGAAATCTCTTTTCCAAAATACTGAAAAGGTTGGGTGTGAAATAATACATAGCTGCATCTTTTTTGCTATAAGTATAACTATCACTATCCATATAAAAACCCAATTATTTTTAAAAAAATCTTTGGGGAAAAGAAAACCAACTAAGACACTTCTTAAAAATAGTTGCAACAGTCATGTCCATTAAAACTCTCTTTCAGGGACATCCCTAGGGGAAGGTTAAAAAAATGAAGTGGTGTCCAAACTGTGCAATAATGGCCACCATCTTAATTTTTTTGAATCTTCCACCCCCGACTTCTGAAAACACTCCTAACAGTGGACTTTATAGATGCATTATTAAACTAATAATTTATGTCATATTTCACAATTTCCCTGCACATAAAGTGTCTTTAAATGTCACTGCACTAAAATGATCCAACTGAGCATTATACTTAGGTTTGTGATTTATATATTTGTGTTATATAATTTAATACATAATTCCCAATTATTAGACATTTCTTAGCTTATGCAGGCAGACAGAAGTGACACAAATGAAAATATTACAGTTGGGGCAAAGTAGATTATTTCTATAGATTGGGGATTTTTAAAAACTTAAAACTCTGGCACTTTTGTTTTGTGTAAATTGGGTACTAATGTCCTCATTACATTCTTATCAATTTCAGAACTATAACATCATCAAATTAATTTGGAACTGTTCTGTAATTATTTTTCTAAGTATAAAAATAATGAATATCTTTAATTGGCTTTTCAGTTTCCAAAAAGCTTTCTAACTATGATATATATTATGTTCTAAACTTAAAACGTACGCAATTAGTATTGTAATAGTAATGCCAAAATCTGAGTGGGGTTTTTTAAAGTTTAAATGTGCCACTGCTATAAGCAACAAACCCTTTTTATTTCATACAAAGGGATGTTTGTGTTCAAACATGCTATTTTACCATTCAAACCACCAGCATCAATATGTTTTTGGTAGGACATATTTTACCATTTTAAGATAAATCCTGGCTCATTTCCTTCCTTAGCTCACCATAAAGGGATATATTAGGGGACAGATTATAAAAGCAGGAAAGGGATGGAGGATGGAGTCAAGTGGGTTAAAATTGCACAATATAATGGATCCATCTGCTGGAAAGAATACAGTACAGGCACATACATTTCCAAATGCAAACACATAGGCAAACAAAACTTGGACAGACACTTTTAATCAAGCCCATCCCTTATTATCCCAAGTAGAATCCTATTACAACTATTTGTATTAAACCATAATAAAGTACTGGACTCCATATGAGCATCCTTATAACGCACCAGAATCAAAATCCTGAATAACCAGGTGGGAAAGAAACTGCTCTTTTTTTTTACTTCGCTGCACACAACACACACACTGATAAAGCGTGAGTTCTGGCGATCAGTAATAAGGAGACTACTATAAATCCCTCAAGCCACAAAATCCTTACTTTTAAAAAAACATCAAAATGGCGGAATCCTGTTTTTATTCTGTTGCTCTACCAGATATTCCCTTTATTTGAAGAGAAGAGAGCATGCCAATTAGACGAAGGAGAAAGTTTGTGAATACGATCTCCTTTCCTTCCCTCCTCCGTTGTACGATGATTGTATACAGCTACTATCTCACCCCCATCTCTTTTTCCCTCTGCATCGCTTCGTTCCAACTCTTGCATGTCATCTGTTTATGAAAAAGGGGGCTTCAAATTCCTCTCCCCCACCTCCAAACACCATGGAAACTTCAAGAAAAAAATAGAGATATTTAAAAAGAGCTTGGGATTTCGCACTGCCCGAGCGAAATTCCAGGGACCAACTGTTTGGATTCCATCCCCCGCCTTCTCTCTTTTTCTCTCCCTTACCTAATGCTCTCTCTCGACTTGCTTTATTTACTTATTTTAATTGCAACGTTCACTGTCAAAACACAAAACGGGAAAAAAATGTGTGGATGTGTGGTCCTCGCGGAGGAAAAAAGAAAACCCCCAAACGCTGGCACATCTACTTGCGAAAGCAGGCAGGCACAATTTTAAATGAATGCACGGCATGCAAAGGAGAGCAAAGGTCTGCAGAACAGGGGAGCAGAACCTTTCTCAGTTGCGTTTTTGATGATTTAAAGAGGTTTATAAATTACTTTCTTATCTGATTCCTTACCTACAATAATCAGCCTGTGGTCACTGAATGCTGAGCCTGCGGGAACGTAAGGCTGGCCGCGCCTGCGCGCAGAGGGGGCGGGGCTGTTTCCCTGCAGAAATGCACAGGGCGATGAAATTGACAAGCAAAGCATATTTAATATACAGCGGGAGAAGTGGGGGGAGGTAGACGTACTATATTATACGCGCTGCAAACCCCATATTTATATAAACATATGATTAAAACAACAATTAACCCTTCTATTTTCCCCCATTTGGCTGCACAGCAGATTCTGTGGGTGCAGGGAGGGGGTGCTTCCATATTTTCTTTTTCCTTCCATGCAGACCGTCGCTAAAATAAAACAAAACAGATCGATTTGAATATGCTTACGGTTTTTAATAAATCTTCCCGACGGCAGTATATATTTTCCCCCTGCTCGGGCAGAGGAGAGAGAGAGAGGAAGGAATGAAATACGAATGCTGCTGATGAATAAACCCAGAACTGGACAGGTCCTGATTCCCTCCCCCTCCCTCTCAACTAAGCCTTTGAATTCCACCCTCCAGATTGAAGTCGTTGTCTCAAGGTATTTTATTGTACTCTTTCTTCTATCCGTGAAAGCCTTCATCTCTTGGGCGGGGGGGGGGGCGGGTTGCACACTTTTTACCGCATCGCCATTCTCTTGCTGCGCCCCCCACCCCCAACCAAATGCTATCCTATGGCTCTCGGGTTGCCTTTTTTTCTGCTCCCGCCTGGCGTTGCAGGAGGGGAAACCTGTGCAAGGAAAGGTCTGCTGAAGCAGCTAGAAGTCTTTCCAGAGGTTTGGTTGGTGTAAACACGACTAGATATTCTTAGGCGAAGGGAGGAGTTGCTCTTCTCCATGCTCTCGGACAAGAGTCATTTCTTGCACGGATCGGAACAAAAGAACCAATCACGTGCATTATTTCGCGTCTGGATGGCTCCTGGGTGCGCTTCTCGCCTTAGGAAGCGAGCTCTCTTTGCCTGGCACAGAACCAACCAGGCATCTGCTCGCCAAAGATGCAGAGTCTTATGTCCATCCCAATATTTCTAAGCAGGAAAAATCACTCCCTATTGGACACTCTGGCACTGGGGTTCTTAGCAGAGCTTTTCTGAACGTGCCCAGACCAACGTGTCCCATGGAAATTGTCCTCAGATCTCGCCAACATTCATGCATGAACTGATTGTTGTTTTTAATCTCACTCACTTTTTGTTAATGTGAATTTTTTGCCTCCATAACGGCAGGCAGCTTGGTGTTTACAACTCTCTCAAATTGCAAATTTAGCAAAAATCTACTAGCAAAAAGGTGGGGGTATTTTTTTAAACGCTTGGTGAAAATAGACACTATCTATCATAGAGATATGAGGCAATAGTTAAATCAACAGTAATCTGTGGTCCGATTCTAAGGAACACTTTAGGGACAGAAATACTCATTTGACAATCTTTTTTACTGTATGCTCTGTCAACCTTTGTTTTGTTTTGTCTTGCCTTTTTCTTCATTGAAGGCAATGGCCCACTTCAAAGGATATTTGAGGATTCCCAAAATATTGAAATATGGAGTGTACACTTTAACTGGTAATTTTATATGCTAGAATGGAAAATATTAGACCTTAATCATTTCAGATATTTAATAATATTTTGGATGCCTTCTACATGGCTGGGTTTAAATAACCTACTAAATGCAGGTTAATAAAATATAATTCCTATGGCCAAACAAGTAATACTGTGACAGTATGATAGCCTGCTTTGCACTAAGGAAATGATTGCTGGGTTTACACATGCATCATTAACTATTAAATTATCATTATTAGATTATTATTATGACTGAATCACTAATGATTAGTTTGCACTTTAGCTTTAGAGTGTGTACAAGTTCAGCCCATGTGTAAGTTTCAGGGGGTTTCACTCCTTTAATCATCAAAAAGTCTCTGGGTATCCTAGTTTACTTCTGAATCTTTCTAGCTAGGTGTTTGCTAAGAAAGAGCCATAAAGTGAGTTTCTACTTTTTACTGACCGTGCTTCCGTCTTTTCAAAGAGGTGAGGTTTTACTTGAATTGTCAGATGAAAGCATGAGTCTGAAGTTATTTCAACATACTTTCTCTATTGCCTTTTCTTAGTAGCACCATTTTTTCCAGCAAGTAAATTTTAAAATTGTGTGAAAACACATTTTACTTATTTAAAAAACATTTTTGAGACACTCATACAATAGTTCCTGAATTAAAAAGTGTTTGGGCCCAGATTAAATATTAAATACATACACATGTATGCCATATATGCTGCCTTTTGGCCTCATTATAGTATTGTTCACAAGCGACCTGAAAAAACAGCTGTTGAAGAAAGAATTTAATAGCATATGGGGGGAAAGATAGAAAAATGTCCTATGATTGTTGTTTTATTAGTATACTTAATTCTAATGTGAATAGTTTATTTTTATATATAATATTTCACATAAGCCACTAAAAGTCTTTGGATTGCAGCTTGATATAAATTTAATACATACATACATACATATCTCATATCAAAGTGGGAATTGTTAAAACATGGTACGTAAGTGAATTGTTTACTTGCCCAATGACTAAATTAAATTCATGAGTGGACAAAGAATAGTAAAATGAACATAATTGCCCCCCTTCCACCCATGGTCCATTATAAATCTGCCCGTAAATGATAGAAGAATAGAAATCAAGCAGAATTGCAAACTGTCCATTAGCATATGCATTTAGTACCAACCCAGGTTTATTAGAAACATACGTACAAACTGCAAAGTGATTATTATCTAAAACTTTCTTTTTTCAAAATAATTTTCTCAAATAAATATACTTCTAGTCTCAAACCAACAACTTTTAAATCTCATTCCTATTCCTGTATCCTGGGAAATTTTAAAAAAAATACTTATTATTTCAGTTATATGACTTATCTGAGCATATTATAAGAGTAAATGAACAAAAATAGAGTAAAGTAATCGTAATAGCATAAGAAAGAAAAAGAAATGCAATGAAGAGTTGTTGTTTTTTAAATCCTGTTGTCCAGCACTGGTTTTATAATGCAATAAAAAATAAAGTTTCATTTACCCCCATTCATCATAACTCTTTTTAAAAATTGTGTGAAAGTTTTGATCTACTGGGTAAGAAGTGTTCCTGCTTGGTTTTGTTTTTTGTGTTTAATTGTTTGCTTATGAAGCAGATTCCATGCAAATTTCAATGTACTGAATTTTCAAAAGAAAACAATTCTGAATAGAAGATCTGTTCCTCACCTCTCCCAAAATAAGATCAAGCCTCTACTTTCTTTATCCTATTCTTGGCAAACTGACGAAAACCTTCCCATTTTCAAATGGTAAATCTTTTCAAGCAAATACATGCAATAGAGAAGATAAATGGTACAATTCAAAAGACAAGCATTGAGCATTTATTTTACAAACTCATATTCTGCCTTATTCACCAACATTAAAACCTCTGAAAACTAAGTGGCTTGGGTAACCATGCCATCCTTAATTGTAATAAAAATGAAATGCCCTGAGATGCTTTACAATAAAGACCTCTCCAGATAAAAATAACATTTACTGTTATTGTTTGATGAATCCATGGTGGGGCTGCAAAATGTGCCCCCTTAAAAATCTGAGAGCATAAATATCTGGTAAAAGTCATAAAATGTTATGATTGCATAATACAAATGCAATTCATTTGATGTAAAGGCATACAAAATATCAGTTAGTTCCCCTTCTCCCATTCAGACTTAGGTATCTGACATTCTGATCCAGCTGTATTAGAGCAGTTCTAAAAATATTAGGTGCAGTGTGTGTGTGTGTGTGTGTGTGTGTGTGTGTAAGTTTTGTTTGTTTTGTGTCCTCAAGTCAATCTTGATTCCTGGCAAACTGCCTTGAGGTTTTTTGGCAAGATTTCAGAAGCGATTTGCTATTGGTGGGTAAGACAGAACTGAGACTCATGGTCTGAGTCTCCCAATTTCTACCCTGATACCTTAAACACTACACCAAAAAGTTTCTCATTAGGTATGTAAACCATATAAAAATGTGTATATCAGAAAGCAATAGGAAACCAGTGGTATTTTTAAATCAGAGGGATGATGAAGCATCTATGAGAAGTGCCACTCACCATTTATACTGCTGCATTCTGCACAGGCTGCAGTTTCCAGATTATCTTCAAATTTTAATGTTAATTTTAACATTATATACTTCAGTGGATATGTTTACTGTCATGTCTATGAAATGTATATGCCCCCTTCTCCATTTTACTAAGGATGTGATGTGATTGTCCAGGATTAATGTAGATCTAAAAGGATTTCCATTTTGTGGATCTGCTTTTTAGGGACAGTGCAGAATGGATGTGTGACATTGAATTGGTTTCATCCCCTGGAATCATCAGCTATTCTTCTTGTCTGAATAGCTGGTGATTCCTTCATCTTTTCCCTCTATATTTGGCCTCTTACAATTCAAAGATACATAAAGCATCTTGAAACACCCAACTTTGACTTTGCTGGAAAAGAGAATTTCAGCTAGCATGCAAATATTCTGACCTAGGTTTTGTTGGAAATATTAAAAACGAACTAGACAGTGGTAGTTTTATAGGACCACATGTAAACATAAGCATCTGAGTTCAACTCAAAGGACTGTACTTGTATTTAATTTTTCTACCTTATATACAAATGAACTTTACAAAAACCTGAAGTTTAAGGTCTTTACAGTATTAAATGAAAAGCAAGATGTGGCACCACTTGGATTAATTTAAACTGAAACAGCTATGTCACCTTTTTATCCATCATGTAAAGTGTACACATTATGATTTGCTAAATAATTAACATTCAAGAAAAGCTTAATATTACAAAGGGAATAAGATTTCTGCACAGCTTTTCTCTCCCATAAAGATATTAATTATATATTTATATTCAACTCCACAAAAGCCAAGGAATATTAAAATATCCATCATCATATTAATAGATGCTACATTTAGATCACTGTGTAGAGTGATATTGATATACAGTATATGATTTCTCACTCTTGACAAAGGGCAGTAGTAATCCTAATGAATATCAAACCT